GAAACTGATGGCGAACGAAATACTGGGATATACGAGAGTCTTCTGGCCGTGTGTTTATCTGACAGCCTGAGAAGTAGAAATGCAAAAGCGATGATGTCAAGAAATGAATAGCCGACTGGTGCAAGGACAAGATTGATAAGCGATGAGCAAGAACTTTCTGCTCATTGCGACGCCTTCATGACATCTTCTGTCCTGTCGTCATCCGGCTATGCCGTCCCCTCTTCCCAGACCGACTTCTGGCTCCCATAAATAGAATGATTGAGATACTTCTAGCCGTTGCAAGCTAGCAGGCCCTAGCGACGACAATATGTATGACATTATGCACTTAATAATCACTTTCCAAACGCATGTAACACTAGCACACCCTTAGGGGCGATCTCCAAGCGCAAGGCCCACAGGGATGAGGAATATTGATGCTGTTATCAACCTGCGCAGGTCTAGGCTGTCGTCTATTACTAATTCAACCACGCCTTAACTAAGCCCGGCAGGCCGCCAGCTAAGGCCCTTTAACTAACGCTGCCCGCCTCCAGTTAAAGCCTTTAACTAAACGGCGCCCCCAAACAGCGCCCAGCTGCCGCCCAACCCCCCGCCGACGCCTCAACTGAAGCCTGCCCCTGCTCCCCTGCTCGCTCTCTTCCAAATACTTTCTTTTTCTTCGGAACTTCTCCTTTGCCTTTTTTTTTTGGCTGCTCAGCTTCTCTGCGCTTCACACCATCTTCGCTGTCTTAATAATTACCGTCTCAAGGGTCTCTTTGTGGCTCTCTCTCAGCGTCCGTCCATCCATCCCCTCCGCCATGCCCGCATCAACGTCATCCCGGCTGCCCCTCCGCCTCGCCCTCGCCCGCCGCTTTAGTCCTCGCCCAGCCTCCTCCTCCTCCTGCTGGCCTTATTTAAGCCGCCCTGCCCTCCTCTCGTCCGCCTCCTCGCCCTCATCCACATCTGCACGACCACCGCTACAGACAACCACAGCTCCAGCTCCAGCTTCTACAAGACTCTTCTCCTCCTCCAGCTCAAGACTCTTCTCTCCCACAGCTGCAAACATGGTCGTCCAAGAGATCAAGAAGTACGTGTCTTCTCCTCTTGCCTCTCCTGCTGTCCTGCTCTCTGCCCCTCCCCCGCTATCCTCACCAGCATATAACATAACAACATGAGTGATAATGATAGCGATATTG